GGCTTACAGTATCCTTAACACACCTGGACACCCTCTTAAACACCTACTTAAGCTTAGTCCCAACACTAACCTAAGGGGTAACACCCAAAAACTGGAGATACAACATAGTAGAACGGACTGCAGACACAATTTCTACTCCTTAAGAGTTGTCAAATGCTGGAACTCGCTGCCAGCTGAGCTAGTCCAAGCAACTTCCCAGGAGTCCTTTAAGAGGCGACTTGATCTATTCTTAAGGACTAAGGATAGTATCCTACTATGATTTACCAATTCATTTTCTTTCTCTTTTATCGTTAATATACCTAGGTTCTTGCCTGGCGGTATTGGTGATCCACTGCTACTAGACACGGAAGCCTGTTAAGCGAAAGCTTCTTCTATTCCGTCCGCAACCATTTGAACCATTTGAACCATTTGAACCATTTGATATTGGCCTACGGGGATCTTATTGGTTAATTGGCACGTAGTCTTGTAGCGGTGTTCATAGTCAAGCTCAACTCGACACCACGCTACAGATGTTTGCTGCCAACTCCTAACCAATTAACCTAAGTTGTTACAAATACTCTCTTTTTTATTGCATGGGATAGTTTGACTTTTAAACGTTATTCATTACGATCAAAGTGATTATTACTCTGTTATTTCATTACTGGATCTGGTTAGCTCATAAGTAGCCAAGATCTTCGGTACATCATGTTTTTACTAAACCATTCATACAAATATATCATTTATTTACATTCATAAAAACGTTACTACACCACATTTACTTATCTAATAGATAAACAATTACTGGAGGCCCTGTATTGTTATTTAATCATATCCGTCCCATAATACTAAATTAGCGTCCATGGACCATCCATATCTCAGTATTGGATCTCGTTGGGAACCCGATAACCTCCAAAATGGCAGGAGACCATTTTTACTCCGGTTTTTAATGAAAGAAACATAAGTCATAGATTATAAGAGGCTGATGGGACTAAACCTTTATGATGTCAAAGATTATACAAGGGTTGATCAGTGATTAGGTGAGAGATCGTATGAGGTTGTCCGTATATCAGGAGCGAGAGCTAGTACCGACCACCATTAAGGAATTTCATTTTATTGGCTGGAGGCTCTTTTGGAATTGAGAACATCTCATTTTCGTTTTGCAGGTTCTGGGCTCGATTTTATGCATTCTCCAGCTAAAATCCAAATATATTTATGAAAATTTTGTTTAACTCTACCCCACCGACTGATGTTCCCATCCAGCGATTGCAGAGTATATGTTTTTGTGTCCTGATTTCCTACTACTGCCTCCTAATGGATAATTAAGAGGAACTTCATGAAGAGTCTGTGTGGTTTGCGGCGATGACCAGTTTCATCAAGTTTCAGCATGTCAGCAAATTGGACACATATAATTAGTGTGATGTCTCCAGAATGGTTAAGTAGTTACTGCGATCAGAATTGTTGAAATATTTTTCATTTCTGTGTTCCATGCATACCAAAGTTATACAAATACTTTCTACTTGATAAACTAGACACAGGTTTGGAGTTTCACATAAGGCTTGTTGGAATAGCACAGTTATTTGATGGCTAAAACAGGAGGTCTATTGTAGTATCAGTTTATAACCATACGATCTTCGAGGGTGAACACAAGATAAGAGAAATTTCGCATTCGCCATTTAACACGAAGAGGAGGTCAGCAATGGTGAACGCGGGATAATCTATGGAACGGCATGTCTCTGCCGTACAAGCGTGCTCATTCTATATGACCTCTATCTTTTTGTATTGAATATCCTACTCTCTTATCAGGCCCAAATGTCATCTTCAGTAGTGCTGGATGTCATACTGCTAATCGTCACGATGGGACGAGTCAGTGTAATCTATGGTGCGGCTTCCACATAAGGTCTGATAGACTAGGTGGCCACATCATGACTATTCTACAACTTTGGGATTATATCTATTGTTGTGGTGGCAAAGATAAATGTACTAATATTGAACTAGATCGTAAGTCCCTAGGTCTGTGGACAGCCTATCTATACACTTTTAGAATGTATGTGATTAGCATAGGATATACAAAGAGATATAAAGTACCGTCGTTTCTTGTCTTTCCCCATTAGTTAGTACAATTCATTAAGAGTGAGAAAACTAGTACAAAGAAACAATACAAGTAAAACAGGTTATTTATGAGAGGACAAGCTGAACGGATCGCTGTTATATTTAAATGAATGACTAACACGACAACAACACAGAGAATTAGAAAGATATGATCATATCCGAACCAGTGATTATTGTAGAAAAATTGGATACGAACGATTACGTTTAAATTACAATAGTTTTGAAATAGAAAAAAACTATGGCAATGGGTCATACATAAAACGAAATCTTAGGATTTATAGAATAAAGCAGTTACGAAACTGAATACTGGCAATTTGAAGACTCTGAAATAAGTGAGACAATGATCCCGAAATTAGCTTTCGACGCTCGTCATAGCTTTTTTAATTTCTTTATTTATGTAACATTTGGTCCAAAAATGTGTCGATTCAAGGGCTTCATTCCGCCCACTGAAACCTTTTCGTCTTTTCACATAACATATCTAGCTGTACCTTATATAATGAAGAAAGGGGCAGTACGCAGTTATTTGTAAAATCATATATTAGCTTAATAGTCACTCTCGCTGAATAAAGCAACATAGAGTGTAGTGTGAAACAACCTAATTTTGTGCACACTTGTATTTCGGGGTGACTAAGGAGAATTTTGATCTAGTTTGCAGGTAATTCCCTCCACCTCAGTGACATACTTAAACGGTAGAGCCTTTGCTGACATTTCATTAAATTGGTTCTAAAATGAAGTAAAACTACGTAAAGATATCACGTATATAATGTCCTTACCTACATTGTTTTCTCTAATACCCTTTTAATGGAGGATCTCAAAGCTAGTAGACCTAAATGTCAAGAACAAAAGGACTTGATAATATCTTTACATAGTGGCCAATACATTGACATATATGAAGCTTAAGTTGTCTAGTTCTTGGAAGAGATGAGCATCACGAAGTGCCTAGACATGATCTGGTGAGGCTACCTGACTAAGCGCCTTGAGTGAGAATGTATGTAGTATAATTATTGAGGTCAGTATCAACATCAAAGACTTAGAGAGCTATTAATCTTGAATATTTATCAATAACTACGCGAGAATCCCTGGACAACATTTCGGACCAGGTTGGCAAAATTTCTGACTGGTGTGGACTTTATAAGATAGTGGCTTGTGAAAAGACAAGCAGATGAACCTCATGTAACAAATTTTACCACTTGCGCATACACAGATTGATTTCAAAGTTACAAATGAATTATATAGAGTCTAATTTGACCACCGAGCGTCAAAAATCAACCTTCACTCATGGTTCCCACACAACTTTGAAGTCCTGTCAGGAGCCGTTTATTTATCATCAGATTCTCCATCCAAGAAGTTTTGAGTGAAGAACTAACTCCTACACAAACTAAGCTAAATAAATCTCTAGATATAGTGGAGTTCGTTAAGCCCCAGCCAACTCATCGAGCTTAAGAGTTTTTACATTAGACGAGTAATCACTGAACGCTGAACTGCTTGCCAACTATCAACAGGGTCTTAGTGGCAGCGTAGACTAATCTGTGACTCACAATGAACTGCCCCATACTTCAGCGGTTCCATTCTATGCTACTTTGATTTGTCTTAATTCAAAAATGCTGTCGTTTCAGTAGAATTGTTCGTCCTGGTCAGTCACCAAGGTGGTGAACTCACATGGTTATTACAATAGGATGAACCTGGTTAGGTATCAACTACGAAGCGCAGATTCGAAGAAAGCTAGGATGTTCCACCATCCTTTTCCAACATGAGTAAAACGCCCATCCATACAGTTTATTAAACTGGAGATTTACAGATCTCTTGACACAGAAGATTGACCGTAGAAAACATCAGATGTGTTCGTTCTAAAAAAGATCCAACAGAGAAGCGATGGTTCAATCCAGTTAAACTCTGTGGATTGCTTGCTACCAATTACTAAGCTGTTGAGCTGTGAATCCATTGGCAAACACGAAGTTAATTGAAACAGTCGAATTCTAAAAACCCAATGCCAATGACTATAAGTTGCCCTCACTCACCGAATTGAAGTGTCTTCTGACAGTTACGACCGATCTATATTGACGTTTGAAGGTGTTTTTTATTTAACATGGAGCTTACTGTTATTCGAAGTATTTAACAGGTTTTTGGAATCACCTATGTTTCCCAAAAGCAACGTTAATCAATCTACACAGTTCGAATGAAGGGGTAGATTTAACTTTAGGCTTTTCATGTCTTCTCAATATCCCTTGTTTACGCCTAAACTATCAGAAGCCTTATGTGTGATAAGGTTCAGAATCTGATTAATGTGCTATTTTTGTGACACTATTAAGCATCAGGACAATGAATCCAGTGTTTTCAGGAGCGAACGGGTGATAAATGGAGTTGAAATCTAAGATGCGAGTCTCCTACTATTAGCGATCCGCCAACTAAAGGTATTTTAAACCGAGAGTCGATGTCCATTACAGGATTCAAACACAACTCCACTGCAAACGCTGTCGCGTGTTTCAGGTCTTTTTACATCACGAGACAACGGGGTTGAAGGCTGAGTGTAAAAAGTCAGGTCCATTTACTAACAAAACGGCTTACACAAATACATCTATTTATCTTCGACATCTGAATATAACATAGGTAAATTGCTGATCTCTCAACTTGTTTGACAAAACAAAATAACATTTAAATCATCAGCTGGTGATAAAATACTTCTAAATGGTGGAAAATCTGGTAAAGAATGAAGCTTTGCTAACAAAAGCTTTTAGGAACTAGTTTACTATACTTCATATGTTGAAAGTTGAAATTTATTGATTTATTGATTCCGCGTAAGTTACGGCGGTTAGTGCGCTGCGCGTGTTTCCAAGAATGGCATGTAGAATTTTGAATTGTTCATTTTAATTTATAGGCTAAAAGAACGAAGAAAGTTGGTATAGTTGGAAAGTATGGTGTTCGATACGGTGCTTCTCTCAGGAAGACCATTAAGAAAATCGAAATCAGCCAACATGCTAAATACAACTGCAATTTCTGTGGAAAGGTAATCTATGAAAGCTCTTTTGTCTATTCATCTTTTAGGATTCGTTAAAAAGAAAAGCAGCGGGCATATGGGAATGCAAGGCGTGTAAAAAGGTAGTAGCTGGTGGCGCTTATGTTTGCAGGTATGTTATATCACCTCATTAAACATTCTGTAGCACTACTGCCGCGACTACAATCCGAGCTGCTATCAGGCGCTTGCGTGATGCTCACGAGTCATGAAATATGTTTTTATAAATATAACTGGTGCACTTCCTGGATATATTTCTGATTTAAGTTCGTCGGTTGACTGATTTCCAGGTTATTCATGTCTATATGATGTTAATACGCCAACAGGCGTATATAACAGCGTGTTAGTCATTTAAAATGCACAATTTGGTGGTCCTTTTACTGTAACAATCGGAGTCTCACGGTTTTGATCGTGTCATGAATGTATGATGTGGAAATGCAATAATTAGGTACCGCTTTACAAAGTTGCTCCGCAAGAGAGTCGACTTAATTATAAAGTCAGTATGTGCATTTGGTCACTGATGATAAGCTAAGCATATAATCATTTAGTATACATTACTGCCCACTGAAGAACTCCGCCGTATTCTAAATAATTTGAGTATCAAGTATATATATATTTTTCACGAATCTACTTATTGTTGAGTACTGTAGTTAGTTTAAAAACAGTTATACTCTTGTGTCGTGCCGGTATTTCGTTATTTGTAAACTACTCAATGCTATAGGTTTTCCGTTAAAAACTACTGAGGGAAGTGGATGTTTCTGAGTTAATCCCGTGTTAACCCGCCTTGTAAAGTAAAATTGTAGCTCCTTGCACTCCCAAATTGTTTGATCCACGTTAATATGTGGTACGGTAGAGATATTTGTATAATAGAATTTGGCATGCCCTTTACAAGATATGAGGGTTGAGTCGAAATTCCTGGATTCTGTACTTTGTGCAGAGCACTGAGATGGGGATCGGGTGATTTCGTTATCAGTGGACTCAGTCCCTACAGTTATTCGACCGTTGATATGAGGTATTCTATAAATAGCTAGTAGTTGTTTGAAAGAAATGTTGGTCTCTGTAATCGTATAGTGCATGGCAGCTTCTCGGGACATTCCCATGATCGTTTGTAGGCTACACATAACCAGTGCAACATTATGTTTATTATATTTAGTCGTACAGTGCTGTCCGTTCCACCTTCGCCCTACTTAGGTGGCATCACACTTGGAAGTGTGAACTGGTCAGACTAGTTACTACCAAATCCAAAAACATCACTAGAAACTTACACATAATTTATTAGGTCGATCTAACCCTACAAATGTTCCGTTTATGACAGTGGATATATGAGCCGATTGTATACACTTTAGGTTTAGAATGGTGGATGCCAAAGAATTTAGTCTAACGTTTATTTTGACGCTTAGATTCATACAGATGGAGGCTTCAGGTCATACCGAATCTAGAGGGCTACATGCTGGTTAAAAAGTAAATTGAGTGCGAGGACGGGTAACTGTTTGCTTATCTGACCGCCAGGAACCCTGGAAATGTACTTTCTGTAACCTCAGTTCTATCGGAAATTACGGATTTTCATATAACTGGGGACAAAGATTGAGTCTTTATAGATCATGCCAACCGTCTATACAACATATTTTGAGTTATTACCAACTGGAAGTAAGCTGGATTGTTTTGGCTCTGGCTTTAGTGATTTCTGGCAATAATGATCCCCGTGGATAGTTTCACTAGCGTCCTGAAGTCAGTAAAGATTGGGTAGTCACATAGACATGAGGGAAAACGAAATGGGTCTTCATGTTTTGCAATATATATGATGGTATTTTACAGTAGGCCACTCTTTTGACCCAGGAGTGACGTTTGACTGCGGCGATCGAGCAAACATGTCGGTGTCCCGAGATTTCAGGAGATTCGTATTGTGCAATTAAAGGCATTTTATGCAAACTCAGATCTATAGTGTTATTGTAGGCTATCAAGGTGACCAAAAAGGTATGTGAACTGTCAACTTGGACACAAAAAGTGTATTGATGTAAGTGACTTGGATTTTTCCTTTTTCTCCAAATTCTTTGATGTACTTAAAGTGCACAGTTGCAGGGTTTGATTGATTACTTGGACGAGAACTTGCATATAGGTGCTTTCCGCATTTATCGAGTACCAGGTGATGCTCAAGGATCACTATGAATAGCAGCAGATCAAGAAGTAAGTCGCTAGAACGAGATATCTCATCACCCAATCAAATTGTATGTATGTATGCAAATCTCCTGGTTAGGGCTACCTAGATAATAGAAACTGGGGGTTGGTGATGGGAAATAAAGAGATGGCGACAGTATACTTCTCACTAGTTTTGTCTCTTTGTGAATCAACTATTTCCACTACTACATAGATAGAGATTATTATAATAAACATCTGTGGCTGATTTTACGTCGACCTGTCTATTTTCCATAGTCCTTTCTCGGTATATGCGAGTTAATACTTGCCAAAGGCCAGTAGAAAGATTGTTAACTTAGTTTGCATTCATCTACAATTTAGAACATTAGTATTATTTTGGTGTAGATGTGTGCAAGTTGCCAGGACATTTAAACCGTACCCATTTAGCTAAGTTGTAGGTAATTTCCTCAAAGTCCAAGGTGTAAGCACTCAAACATGTCTATTTGAAGATAACTAACGACAAAAGTATCACAAGAGAAGTAAACAGGCGAAATACACAACTCATTTTGATATGGAGATCAGGAAAAACCCTTAATGCAATAAGACGGAAACTTTCACTGAACAAGTGATTATCGTAATACTATGACAATTTAGTGTAAAGTGATCACAGGGATTAAGTATATTGCAATAAATCAACTGACAGCATTTCTTAAGTATAGGTATCTTGAAACCTAGCATTGTAAAAAGATACATCTTTATCCATAAACATTGCAGCTTTTAAAATAAAGTTAAAAAGCTTATAAATGATATTTTCACTATGATATACTTTCAGGTCAATAAATACAATTAAACTATTAGAACAAACTCCGCATGTAGCCCTTGTAGGGTTACTGCCGGTCTCAAGGAAAGGGTTGGGCAGTAAGTCAGCATCCACATCCACATCCCTTGAATAACAAACGCTAACCAGGAAAAAACCATTAACACCATTTAAAGTCCGCTCCGGGAGTCGAAGGGTCTTCATTTAGAAGAATTCTGACACCTTACGGTTAAAGTTGAGATTCTTTGAAAATCACGAGGCCGATGACCCTTCTAAGAACTAGAGCAACAATTAATATAGGTACATAGAATGTCTGGACAATGTGGGAGACCAGTCTAATAGCTACGGAAATGAGGAGATACAAACAGGCGGTGCACGAAATAAACAAAACCCATTGGACCCAAGCTGGACAAAGAGGATTAGCTTCGAGAGAGGTGCCGTTGTACTCTAGTCATGAAGAAGAAAATGCTTCACACACAATAAATCGCATTAATGCTTCCTAGAGAAACACGAATCTCATAGATAAGATGGTGGTTGGAGGTAGTCAACAGGAAACCCTGGACCCAGGTTTCGTGATATTTGGCTCTCATCAGCAAGGTGTATCTGTAGTCTTGAGGGAACTAATGCTCCCTAACGTGTTGTGTCACTCAGCTTCACAGGCGGAGACGTTACCACTGGGTTATACGGGCCGCGACTGACCTGTAGGACTGAGATGTATTCACAATTAATTGATCGCCCCCAAATGCCCTGGTACGGCCGAGAGTGGGGGGAGTCCGCTCCCCCTCACGAAATGCTCTCATATGGCCACGCGTATACAGCCCCTGCCAGGGAAGTCCTACTCACTGCCTTCTCGTGGCGGGGGTGTTGTTTACAAAAATGAGAGGACGAAAAGCGAATGTCCGGCGCTATAACCGGATCCCAAACCAATGGTGCACATGGGCTCCAGTATCCTGCGGGAACAAATGGCGTATGAACCAATCGTTGGTCACCGGCTACCATGGGACTGCATCTCCTTACGATGCTCCACTGCCTTGTGGATCAGATCTTCAGGTCGAAGGCTCGGGGTGTGGCCCCCTAAGAAAACCACCTGCTTCGGTTTGGGCACCCGGGCAGTATCACAGCCCTCACACATATCAATTGAGATCTGTGTGGCGCATATGTATTTGGTGCCTACTTGTACCGATATTTATGTGTTAAAATAAATAAATAAATAAACAATTAATTGATCACCATGTGGTGGTCGATGTCATTTGTGTCAGGCTCTTCTTAATGCCCCGTGGTAACGTCTCTGACTGTGAAACTGGGTGACACGGCGTCGAATACGTCGAGGAGCATCAGTTCCTTCAATATTACAGGCATACCTTACTGATGGGTGCGAAAACTGGGTCCAGGGTTTCCTGTTGGCTATCTCCAACCACCATCTTATATTAACATAGTGCATGAAACGCTAATTCACCTAGACTGGTGGCCACATTACAACTTGGTCAATAGGATTCGATCTGCACTAAGGACCTGACACATATGACATTGATCACCATCCATTCATCATAGATCCGGGATCATCAAAGTATCCTTCAAAACAGATGGGATTACGATGAATGTTGTCCAGTGACATGTGACCACCAATGATAGCAAACAAAACGATGAAGATCAGTTTTATGGAGCTGCAGTCAGACATAGAGAAGTGCCCAGGAAGGGAACTGACCACCCTAATGGGAGACCTAAACGCCAAAGTCGGAAAAGACAAAACCAGACATGAAGGTATCATGGGACGCTATATACTAGGAGAAAGAAACGAGAATGGTGAGAGATATACAAATTGATGTGCCTACAACAAAATGGTTAGAGGCAGCAATATATTCCCCTACAAAGTTACATGGGTCTCACCGGATCACATCATGGAACTAGATCAATCATACTTCATCACTAAAATGTTCAGAAGATCTATGCAGGACGTGAGAGCAAATGGAGGAGCTGACATAGTCAAATCGCCAGTATTAGGACAAACAGTCGTTTGTACAAATCAAATTCGAGCACACATTTCTCATCATTTTAAATCTATAGTTCAAAAATAGATGTGTATATATTTTATTGACTAGTGTTGTCATATAATACCCATTTCAGACTTTATGCATTCAACGATGTTCGCTCAGTTGAGGTTTTACCTGTTCACTCTGATTAAGTAAGCGGACTGAGAAGTCCGGTCATTCAACCAAATAGGAATGTGATGGTAAATAGAACAACAGTGAAAGCGACATAAAAATTGTTTATAAGAATATAATATATATTTGAACAAAATTTATACAGTTTACATGTTAGATGTCAAGATAAGAAATTTTGGGGACATGTGCACTGGAAAAATTACCTGGATATGAGGTGATGTAGGGATGAGGCGTACATCAACAGATGGAAATATTAGTTGGCACTAACACTGTAGTTGGATAGAATAACCTACAGCATCGTAGAAAAACGAAGTGCTAAGTATACTAGGTACATATGTGAAATACTAATCTTTCTGGAAGGTTAACAAGGCGAACAACAAATAATAGTATTCTAAAGTGTGTTCTTTAATACACTAGTCTTTTAGCCAATAACTGAACACTTTTAAAAGAAAGACAACAAAATATTGACTCGAAATTCTGAATAATGTACGAAATACGAAATAAAGTGATGTAGCATACGGTTAATTGGACTGAGACTGGTTTCACATACATTTCGATGTGAATTTACCTCAATTCACCGGTGCTAACTGGCAATAAAATTTTCGAGAGAACCATGACTGAATACGCAAACAGACCACACATTGAAAGTGCGAGTTTATTCGTAACTAAATAATTTGCAAAGATAGGGAGAAAACCTGAAGAGAAAGATAGTTGTAGAAGAAAGATAAGACGAGCTTTACAAATGTTCTAAATGAAAATAATGTGAGGTTAACATAGCTGCATATTTCACAAAGAGTAAATACCATCCCGAAATTATATGATAAGATCATGGGTGGTTTGTTAGTGGAATATCCATCTGAACTTGAGGCTTTGCCCATTCGACGAATTCATCAATCAGTACTGGCCAAGCACCTGTAGGTAAAAGATAATTTTTGAAGTGAAAAGCAACTATAAAACAGTAAATGATTCTTAACAAGTAAAATGAATATAGATATAAAACGAATCAAGCACCATAAGGATATCATTGGATCAATTAAATACATTTTTACTATACTGTATCATAATATCAAGAAGTTTCAAACATTAGGTAATTTAACACACATTCAAATATTCTTACTCTAGTCCTTATTCTCTAGTTTTTGTTCCGCAATCAGTTCTAATCCTGACATTTAAGGAATAAGGATTTAGCTCATTATCAGAATCTAGATATGCAACAATCCGGATGGAGCGATGGGCTAGATACATGCACTTAGTCAATTGAGTTAGGGACTCTGTTTCATGCAGACTTCAGTATAAGCATTTGTGAAGCATTGACAACAATAACAATAAGTGTAGTTATTTAGCCGTGTGCATGAGCTCGTATTTGTTTACGAATATTACTGGAATAGAAAACTGTAAAGTCCCTCGACTGGTGTATTGTGCAATGTGTTTACGTGTTCAATGAAACGAAGATGTATTGATGCTTAATGTGTGGAAACTAGATCACGATTCTCTGACGATTACTTCCATCCAACTACATTATACTAAAGTTTTGATTTTGTAAGTGGTATTTTCTGTGATAGTATCCGTACTCAATATAAATCTTTAAAATATGCGTAAATAAATATACTAATGTTTATATACCTTCTTCATCATAATTAGACATGTCAGGATAAATTGTTTCAACAAAGTCTAGAAGAAGGTCCCATGTGTCTTTAGAAATTGGACGTTTATGATGTTCCTAGAAATATCAAGACAAAAAAACCGATAGGTCAATATAACTGGCTGTTCAGTGGTGAGAATGTATACAATACTCAACGGTAACACAAGTAATAAACTAGGAAAAAAAGTTTGTTAATCGAAACCATTTAAAAAATGCATCAGTAATTAGTTAGACAAAAGAAATATATCTGCGAGACCTGCTTACAATATGGACCGAAGTACTGGTAATATGTTTTAATAAACGGTGTGGATTTAGTTGGTAGAGTCAATATTATGTTGAAAACTCTTCCAGTTGTCGATAAATGATTGAGTAACTCAGTTATCAACTTTTTGGTGTGTGTTCACCCAGCCTTAATTGCAAATCACGACTGCTCCTCCTTATGTACGTGTTTCCACACATACATGTAAATTGATAAACACAATGGGATGTGACACAATCACTTTCGTGCTGCTTGGGCTTTTGGTGAAACATAGACCTTGTCTTTTCAATAATGACAAGTTGGGCTGCATAAAATGTCCGGTTGGCAGCTAATTTAAGTCTCCGTTTCAACATGAGACTATTTGTGTCGCCTCTGAATGATAATGTAATATAAACTCGCTTTTTGGGTGCCAGAAGCGTTATAGGTCTGGTCATATTGCAACCCTTCCAGCGGTTCACTAAAGTATCAACTTTTTACTTTCGTGCTGAAACTCACTACTTTGATTTGAGAATCTAGTGTTCATATTAGCCATCACATAAAAGGTGTATCTTTTGTGGTCGGTAAACTGAATTATCTTAGGGTATACTATGAACAACTACTCAAATTAGACATTAGGAAAGTGGGAATTAAGCAAGTTGTATTACATCCCACTTTATATATATATATATATATTTCAATTCACTAATAGTGCAGATAAAAAATTTGAGAATTTAAAGAATTTGCTTTAATTTACCGTCAATTAAATACATCTAACAACTGTTCAATTAATATATTGGTCTGTGAAATAACTTACTTGAAGAAATTTAAACCATAGGGATAAATGACAAAATCGACCACGCAGAAGAATTTCCCAGTAGGGAATAGCGTACTGAAGAACTATGAACAAATACACGCACAAAGAAGTTTAATTAAAAAGGAAATAATAGTAGCTCACTGATTTAGATTAATTCATTCACTAGGTAGAGACTTATATACTTGGCTTTGAGCCATACTAAATGTGATGCTAATTAGTTGTTCAAAAATAGTAGGTGGAACGTGGTTCTAATCTAAAACTTTGTGGTTGAAAGTCTATTACCTTAACCATCATTTCACAAGCTGCTGATTTAAGCATTAGATATTTCAACTACTATGAGACAAATTCGGATGTAAGTTTAACTCTTTTACGGTTGGTTAGTAATCTTTAAGTTAGTCATATACAACGAGTATCCTAGTGCATATATGCGTTGGCCTAACCCAGTGAGGTTTAAATCAATAGGACGAAAAGCAAAGAAGTGTGGATAATAGTGATATCAAATGCAGTGAAAAATTCAACGAATATAGTTTGGAAAGGAAGAGTGGAATTTTAAGTAGCATGAAAAACTGAAATACTTAGGATAAATTACAGATGGACTGTAATTTAAAATATTAGTAAAGAAAAATAACGAGTAGTTCACAATATAACATAGAAATAAAAATATTAGCAGGAAATATTGACCAAGGGAGAAATCCACATCACATACACAAATTTTTACACAGATCGAACAGCTTATCATAAAGACATATAGACGACTTTTATTTATTTATTTTAACACATAAGTATAGGTACAGGGAGGCACCAAGTACATATGCGCCACACGAATCTCAATTGATTTGTGTGAGGGCTGTGATACTGCCCGGGTGCCCAAACCGAAGCAGGTGGTTTTCTTAGGGGGCCACACCCCGAGCCTTTGACCTGAACGTCTGACCCACAAGGCAGTGGAGTATCGTGAGGAGATGCAGTCCCATGGTAGCCGGTGACTAACGATTGGTTCATACGCCATTTGTTCCTTCAGGATACTGGAGCCCATGTGCACAACTGGTTTGGGATCCGGTTATAGCACCGCACATTCGCTTTTCCTCACATTTTCGTAGACGACACCCCCGCCACGAGAAGGCAGTGAGTAGGACTTCCCTGGCAGAGGCTATATACGCATGGCCATGTGAGAGCATTTCGAGAGGGAGAGCGGACTCTCCCCACTCTCGGCCGTACCAGGGCATTTGGGGGCATAGACGACTTCTAGCGAGGATCAAATGTTATCTCCGTTCTGAGGCTCCATGCAACAATGAAGTCAGTGGGACTAGTTAACAATGCCCCAAGATTACCGGATGAGCACATATATGTAATATAATTTTTCTATCTACAGATGAAAAACGAATTTGTAGTCCATTATTAGGATATCGAGTATAGGTTATTGTGATTGTGAACACTGAATACGACATAGTAAATATGTTTTTGTGATATTTCGATGAATGGAAAGTTGTATTTCTAACTTAATGTAAGTCACTCTTCCTGAGTAAATAAATAAATAACATTTACTTTGAAGAAGTGACTTACGTTAAGTCACGAAACATCAGAAATACAAATTTCTACTCATTGGGATATCAAAAAAGAATATTTATTATTAACTTTCTAACCAATGGTCAATTTATTTGGAACTATCAAGTCCAACCTTGGCATTGAGACCTATCCAGAGTCGTAGCCAAACCTGCTTGTTATTTGATGTACATCAATGTATGAACGTCCAAGAAAAAATTTGATCGATTTACAAAGGTCGAAATTTGACAGAACCTTCAAAGTCGAGCTGCCGAGTTAAAGAATAAAATTCTTGAGAAACGAAGTAGAGGATTAAAGTGACACAAAATACCTTCACTTATAGTGAAATAGCTTTTCTGATTTATTAGGTTTAAGGTATAGGATGAACAATTCATCATCAACGATTAACATCAACTGGATAAGAAATGTGATATAATATGTGGACCTAATTTTTATTCATGAATTTAAACACATAAACGTTGGTACAAGGAGGCACCAATTAGATATGCACCACATAAATCAAATGATTTGTGTGAGGACTGGGATACTGCCCGGGTGCCCGAAGCGAAGCAGGTGGTTTTCTTAGGGAGTCACTCCCTGACCCTTCGACCTAGAGGTCTAATCCACAAGGCAGTGGGGAAACGTCAGGAGATGCTGTCCCATGGTAGCCGGTGACCAACGATTGGTTCATACGCCTTGTTTCCTCAGGATCCTAGAGCCCATGTGCACCATTGGTTTGGAATGAGGGTTTTTGAAACCCCCTAGGCGGATCCTCCGTGTTCACCAACTCGGTTAAAGCGCCGGACATTAGCTTTTCGTCCTCCCAATTTTGTAAGCACCTCCGCCGCGAGAAGGCAGTGAGTAGGACTTCTCTGGCAGTGGCTTAGTCAGTCAGTTACAACGTAGAACCAAGCATATACATACATCGGTTCAAGTTGCCATACCTTATTAGCACAGCAAGACGAACACTGGATTCATAGAAGCAGTTAACTCAATGGTGTAGTATATAAAGGAAAGATTTTATGTAAGGATATAGTACAGGAAGAAAGAATTAGTTCGTAGAAAGAAAGATAATGACATAATTTTAATCTCATAGTTTAAGAGAAGACAAAGAGTGTATACGCCTACGACATTGTGGTCAATTCTCAGTCATTTCACACAGAGTCTCCAACCATTGGTTACGATAGTCATGCGGATCCCAACCAAGTAGTCTGCATCTACCAACATGGCTAAGACTAGAAGTTAGCAACTCCAAGCACTGATGCCACGTTTTGGTTTGGCCGCCCCTAACTTTCTTCCAACCATTCCCAACACTAGTCAGCATTGCAACTCGTGGTAATCGGTGTTCAGGCATACGCAGTGGCTGTATAGGCGTGATCACGTGACAGCATTTAGCAAGGGAGAGCTGACTCGTTCCACCCTTGACCGTACTAGGGCATTTGAGTGCTAAACTGAAGACGGTTTTTCGGAGGGTCAATCCTTGAACCAAAAGAACTAGTTTACAGAAAAGTAGAGAAACATTGGGAGATACAATCTGATGGTAGCCAGTAATTTGCATTTTTTGGTAAATTACTTTTAGTGTTCTAATCTTTAATATAATGGGAGATGTCATCAATAAATTTTGAAACGAATCCACAACATTAACAATAACTATCATAAGAAGTTACTTAAATGGATAGAGGATGAGAATCTACCTACCTAATGATTTACTTTCATGTTTATCCAAATTAGCAAAGCCAAATGTGAATAAGTATAAAGAACGAAAATTTTGTTTGTCTTCGATATCACTTAATAGACTAGGAAGTTTATTACGCAAGGAACTGATTGAATCACACCTAAAACAAAGAAATAAAGAGAACATTATTTGTGCATCTCAGCAATTAGATCTTAGTTCGAAACAAATGCAGTCTTCTAATTACATCTATATGTAGAGTGAAAAACGTTAAGAATTCTAAATTGCTATATTTGTAACACAATTTCTAGTCGACCGTAAAGTTTCAGCTATTTTAGTAGTCGCATAATGCGACGTTATTCTTATCCTGCATAGATCATTCTTTTGAGGCTATACAGTCTTGAAATAGCAGGACCAGATGACTGATTGGTTTTCCCTTTTTAGTCAACATTTTCTCAGTTTGCTCGGTCAAATCTTCTTCAAAGGCTTCTCCAGAAAACTTGTCTGCATCTTAATAATATGGGGGGTTATTTAGTAATGTGGCCCTGGAGATCCAAAAGAACAGACCAGCATATGAGTTTAAACAATCTACTGAACAGAGTAGGATTAAGATAAAAAGGGTCGCCATCTGGCTAGACCAAGATATATGACCGGACGCTAAAACCATTGGATTTTCATCTAAGTTATGTAAGTAACTGTGGATTTCTCGGATGGAATTCACAAGAATTTTTACGTCATGAATTAACATCATTGGGAACGATGGATTAGATACACAGACTCAAAACCTTAAATATCAAACTACTTTAAGTCTTCTATTATGTCTATTTTTCTTTTGATTATTGACTATCATTATTTTCACAGTATTAGTTTTCCTACTACTAGTTGTTTTCATTAAGGGAAGATGAAATGTGCTAATTTAAAATAATAATCGGTTGCACCCGGTTCTGTTGAGATGCCAGACTACTGATTGAAGTAACATATGCAAATTATTGGATCCTGGGGCTTAATAGCCTGATGGTTAAATGCTTGCCGCGAGACCTGTGGGTTCTGGGTTCGATTCCTGGTGGGGTCATGGGTGTGCACGGTTGAGGAGTCCCACACTAAAACGAAACAGATGTCTGGTGCCTCATGGTTTTCAATGGTTATTTGACTTACGTCTGTTCGTGATCTCAATACTGAGAAACAGTTATAGCACCACGTAATGCTACAGAACTAGATTTCGTAACGATTCCTAGTGATCCCATCTTGATATAATCTATTAAAATAGGATTAAGCATGGTAGGTACCTTTATTTTTAACAGTACTCAACTGAAAACTAGTCTCTAACTCGACCATGAAATTTAAAAGTAAGCAGTGATTTCCGTTAAATTTGACCAAGACATAGCATTCTCACCTGAAGTAATATAAAGATAACTCACCCCAACTCTCGGAACCCACGAAAGAACTCCTCGCGAGTAAATTCTCCTTGGGTCTTTGCTGAAAACTTCCAAGCTAGGATTAAAGTGATTAAACTTTCTGGGTCAATATGGAGATCTGTGACAAGAAATAACTCCATCCCTGTAGCTAGTATGCGATCAGGACACTGAGGATCTACCCAGAAATATATGATGGAAAAAACGGCAATAGATTTTAGTTCAAGAAAAGAAAATGTATCCAATGAAACATATTTGTGGAGTTATTTATAACTACAAAGACAGAGATATTGTTTCCTTGGAATTAGAAACAAGGCGTATGAACCAATCGTTGGTCACCGGCTACCATGGGACAGCATCTCCTGACGTTTCCCCACTGCCTTGTGGATTAGACCTCTAGGTCGAAGGGTCAGGGAGTGACTCCCTAAGAAAACCACCTGCTTCGCTTCGGGCACCCGGGCAGTATCCCAGTCCTCACACAAATCATTTGATTTATGTGGTGCATATCTAATTGGTGCCTCCTTGTACCAACGTTTATGTGTTTAAATACATAAATAAATATGGGAAGATTCAAACAAACAATACAAAGTGAACTGAAACTTCACCCCATTGCACAAGCTAGTGGCTATCTGGACTCAGTAGCTAAGTGGATAACGTGATGGAGTTTGAGGTGAATGATACTTGCTTCGAGTCCCGGAGTGAACACCAACTTTGGGATGCAGATACATCCAGCCGACGAGCCCCAAATAGGACGGAACGCGGGTCCTGGATTCCACTGCTAGCCACCATCCATCTTTGCTTATAATGACTTGAGTACAGTTGTTCTTTAACAAAAATATAATCAAGAGTCCATTGTCAGGTTTTAACATAATCGAAAAACCGGGTACAGGTGTTCAACGCATTAACGCTTACCACGGTAACGCTGGAAGAGATGGTCAATTTTCGCCTCATTAATAGTAGGTCCTTGAGGAGTTGGATTCTGTCTGTAGAAGTAATCTACGGCTTGTTCTAGCCTCCAATTGCTCATTTGAAGGCAGTCAATAGCAACCTTATCAGAACTTCGAGTAATGGCACTGAACTTTTTTACGCGATCTCTTTGTGAGGAGCTTAGTTTATACTGAAAACAAGATTTAAAAAAGATGGACTGGAAACGAATGTGCGAGGAATATTATGCTCAAAAGAATAAAATCAAACACAGCATTCTACCACATAAAATTACATTTACTAAGGGGAAAAGCTCTAAAATGAAGTATAATTACTGAACATAATACGAACGGCAATGACCTTAAAATGCTTATGCCAAAATAGTGGTTACCAGGAAAATATACATATAATCAGATATTTGTATTACGACGGTTGAAGAGCGAAACTACATTGTTTATTGGACATGAATGTTAAGCACTTGAGTGATTATAACAGGACAAAATGTAGTTTTTAGGAACAGTCTACTCTAATTTTCTCTGGAAATAAAGAAGTCGAAAGGATCGTAGTGAGGTTCGTTAAGGAAAAAAATTCTTGTTACCATGTCCGAAAAGTTGTGCGACTAGTGAGAACACCACTGAAAGAGATGAGCATTAATAATGTCTTAGAGTAAGAGGAATGAAGAAACAACATACTTGCGCACAGCTTCAATGTTTTGTCAACTGTGATTGTAGCTCTTACCAATTAAGCTATGACAGACTTGAAACAATGAAAAACGGGAGGACTTATAGATATAACCATGAAAGTTATTAGAAACGTAGGTCAGAGAATAGTGTTGAGGCATTAAATTGAGTGTAGAAAAAAAAGCAGTAGCAGACGAGTTCGGGAGAATATTAACTTTTTGTGATAATTACAAAACAGATCTGTTCGTTTATTGTAGCTTCTGAAGCATAAGATACCATAATCATGTGAAACTTAATTGGAGATGAGAAGCTGAAAACTTGTGGGATTGAGATTTCCAACTTAGAGAGGGTAGTATTGGGTCTACATCCCCCATTGGGTGTGTAGTCACAGACTTGAAAATGCGTATTGTCTTACCTAAGGTATTCTTCCCACATTTAATCAGTCATGTGAAGAACTGTGGGGGTCACTTCGACACGTTATGCACACTCATTTATTACATACTGATTTTACTGGATTTGACTTTTATGAGATTAATTTTCTCTTTTTACGGTCTCTGACCGATTTAATGCACAAGATTCTGTAAAGTGAAAACCCCGATAGGATACAAGGTCAGAATGTCTAAAATATCGGATTAATTAAACATTAGTCTTTTATTTATGTACTTAGAACACATAAATCCTGATTCTGAACCTCCATGCAGTGCCTTTGATGATTAGTCACAATAATCGTGTGGTCCCCAACAGGGTACAGTACAACAGTATATGACTTAATGGGTTGAAATCACATCCTGGTTTGGCTGCCCCTCTCTAAACTTGTTCTTACACCAACCAACATTAGACGTCAAAGTAGGTGGTGGTTAGAGACATATATTTCACCCATCTCAGTTGATAAAGATAAACAATCTTACTTACCGATTTGCTATACTAGCCTAATACTGTGTTTAACACCGGCGTTGCTTACTCGGTAGTCCCAGCGTGCTCCAATAGTGGTCCGAAGACACATATGACTAAACACTAGCAACTGACGAATGTTCTTTTAAAAACCGTTTGGTAACTGCGAAGCAAATAACATGGCATACTCGTGCCTCTGATAACAGACGGATATACTGACTACAGTACAAGTGGCCCAGGCCAATCAAGCTTAGATGAATCTGTACTGAGATTTCGTCAGATACAAACCAATAAGGCTGATGAGGCGTTCAAGACTAGTAAAATGATTGACGCCCTCAACTATTTCACTCAGTATGATTAAGTTAAACTAGTCCTGAAACAATCGTAAATTTGGAAGGGAAAAAAGGAATTCTGAACTAATAATTTGAGTTATGCGCTATACTATTACAGACACCATCTACATAGTTGCTGTACTACAGTAAGTAGAGTAAAGTTGGGAAATGATAGGGGGATTAAAATAGTACGGATAGAGAATAAGTCGCAAACTGCACTTTCAATTAAACATGTCTTTAATGCAGCCACTGATGTAAGATATTAGCGGTGAAAACAGAGACTTGACACAAACAACGAGCTACCGTATTAAAAAATTAGTGAGTAATGCCCACGGTGTTACTTTCCTTGGTTTGGTGGAATGCTTATATACAGAAACCCGCTGGGTTAACCCTGTCGGTTAAAATTTACATGCAGTTCACCCAAAAGTTTATGCCGCCAAAATATCTCGAATGAAGGATTGATGGTCTAAAGCTATTAAGGGAGACTCGGTAGTCTAGGCTACAGAACCCGTTCTTAAGATTTATATAGAAAACAAACATCAAGATAGACGCCACGGATTCTAATATTCCAATCTCCCAACTTCGGGGAAATTTTGAGGAAGCTGCAATAGGAAACTGGGGAAATGGTACAAAAGCCTCAAAATTCCCCCAGGTCCAGGGAACATCCCCACAGTTCCGGGGGAATTTAGGGTTTTGTTCAATCTCTCCGCAAAATTTCACAACACTGGGATTTTACTTCAAAATTCGGGGAAGACTGCCAAACTTCTCTTGACTTTGGGGAAAAAACCAAAAATTTTCCCAAAATTGGGGGACAGGGAAATTTTATCCAACCTTAGCAAACCAGTGACTCCATACATTACGCAGAGTAACCCAAGTATTTCAAACGTTACGTTTCATAACAGAGAAGAGTTATGATAATTATGTAGGTACAACGTTGAATGAAGTTATTACCACCATAGTTAGTAGACAGGATATATATGAGTTTAAATAGTGAAGAATAAGAGTGATGAAAAGGTACAGTTTCATTTGTAGTCATTAATGAGCCACAAACATGTTAGGCATCTGAGGAAGATGGAACAAACCTGGGTAGCCATTGTAAAAGAAAAACTGAAATTAGCGGCTAGAGTAATGGTACGTTATTCCTAGAATTACTGAATTCCACCTACTCGGATAAAGTTAAAGTTGGCAGTGAATTCCATATTCTTCAGTTTTCAGCTTATAGAAAATGTGTTTAAATAATGTTAGACGCTGCACTTTTTCAAATGTCTGCGACAGATGATCAATTTGATAGTAACGCAGATGTCCATTTGGTGCGATCCTCTTCTTTCTTACAGGTTTTGCTTCTCTGTAACATATATTATTTTGTCCCGTTTGCGGTTTTAGAAATTCTATTGTTTGTTTTAAAAGGAGTTGTGCTACCTTATTCTCAAGGTATATTAGCCAGTGAATTGTTACTGTTCATATTTTTCATATTATCTGAAATTCTACGTATATACTGTCTCATGATTTCCAATTTGAAGGAGAGCTTAGTTGGCATTGTGATCTCCGTTTTTCAGTTTTTACCAAATGTTGTTTTGTGTGTTTGGCTCATACTTTGGCAATCATACGTATTTTATATAGACTTGGTCCTAAGCTCCATAATGCTTATTTTGTACTTTTTTGAAGTTGTTTTCGACATGATGGTTCTTGTAACATTGTCATGTGTGTCTGTATAGTCTATCTCTTGTTCGAAAATATTTTTCGATAATGAACTCAAATGTATTTAGTTTTTCCAGTGGTTTGAAAGAATAGAATACCTAATTCGTAGTTTTGTGTCTCCCTAGAGCTAAAAAGAACCCGAATTTTCGGAATATTTCTGTTTAACACAATCGCGCTGTTTTTATTACTAATGATGTTTTAATTCAACAGAATCATATGACGTTGATATTGCTCTTTCAAGTATATCACTTCAAAGAAAGGTGGAAAAAGAGTAAAAGAAATAACAACTAAAGAAAGCTCATTGAATTCAGAAGGATATAAACATGAGAACACTAGTATGACTATCTGATATGTACAAAGCTATTTGTTTTGGAGAGTAATTTCCTCTACAAAATGTCAATATATTAGGAATATAATTTTATGATAGTCGCGCATATTATTTGTATGAGAAGTAACCGATTGAATTTTTTATTTTTTGTTTTTTACGATTTTATTAATGTTGTCCGTATTTTTAAAATACTTGTAAAACTCCTATGACATTATGGATTAAAATGCCATAAGTATATATAAAGACGTAGCTTCAACTATCATATCAGTGGATAATGATGCTATGAGATAGAAGGGCGTTTATACTACTCAAATAACTTTCTGCGAAGTACGTCAAGCGAAATCAGAATGACGAAGCAAAAAACAGTGCAATGTACAGAACTGAAAATCTAAAATTCATTCATTTCGTCTGACAGATTATGGTGTTTAGTTTTATTTATCAGTCAGTTATAAATGCAGAAAGATGTCACAGATGTTCAGTGCTTGACAATGATGTTACTCGTAACAATTTTATAACCGAGAGTCCAAAAGACAGTCAAACCAGAACTCATGAATAAATAGGTTGGAAGATATATCTGGAAGATAGTCAATATATCCAGAAGTGATCTATGCTGACTAGTTGCGAGAGATGCGTAGCACAGCAGATGAGCAATTAAGTTCTCAGGATGCTTCCTCTTAGACGTCCTTTTTCTATTTTAGGAATACAAAGAAAAGTAATTTTTCATTGAAAGTATGGTAAAAATCAAATAGATGTATCATATCGTTTCTAAAATGCTGAACTCCATATAATTTAGATTAGGCAGCCAACTTGTTTTTACCACTTAGTTACGTTCTTTAGCTACAGGAATATCAGGCTGTTTAATTTTTTAACTCTTCAGACAGGTATCATTGTAAATGTTTCTGTAGCAGACACCAAGTAGGATAATGTCACCTCATTTAATAAGAAACTCCAGCCGTTAACTACTCAAACGAAAAATTATAATCCGATTTTCTCAAGTAAGATTATTTGGTCTCCATAAATAATTAATTCTAGAAAGACATAAAGTTGATCTAACATTATTGTTTTTACACAATAAGACGAAAGAAATTATTTGACTTTTGTGATTTTTTCTTTGATAAGAGGATAAAAAGCTCAGCTATCGACGTCGCATACATCACTTTAAAAATAACCAACATATCACTTCTTTAGGAAATATGGGCCACGTCTAGTATTCTGTATGAAGTTCTGGTTACATTAGGTATAGTGCGCAAAATATAAAACTTACAAAGCTTTTGAAGACTGGATGATTAGGCCATGTGAATAAAAGCCTATTAGTAGTAATCATTTCATAATCCGCCATCGTTTTTCACCCAATGTCTCAAATAACTAGTGGGTTTTTATTATATGACTTTTTTGTGCTGGACAGGGATGACAATCACCCTAACCAGTATACGTATCTTTATTCAGACTGGGATTAATTTTAAGGCACCAATACTTGTTAAGTTCGTCAAAGACGTTTGAGATAAGCTATAATTCAGATGTATCTGTATTGCAAAGTTTTATGTTTGATAATTGAGTAATCAATAAATAAGAGTGAGTGTGACCGACGCATTTGTCGTAATGCACGAAAACAGTGTAAAAAAGGGAAAGTTACAGGTCATGACCATAAAAATTAAAAGATTAGGATTGGAACTCAAACAAAGCTCCGGATATTATTGCTTTCTATCTTCAACCTGAAGAAAGTTTCTCATCTTCCCTCATGAACTGTCATCAATACAAAGTTATATCGTTTAAGCAAACCTAGTAACTTTTATTCTAGACATTTTCAGATATTCATTTACTTGAGGTGAAGGAACGTCATAATTCCTGTTTTCATTGTTCAAGTAGTAACTTTTCTCATAAATCTAAATTGAAACATAGCTTAAGGAGCCTTAGTACTGGTGACAGGTAATCATCTAACCATCAGTTTGTTTTTTCTGCTCTTCACTTGGCTGGCATCAGAAAGATGTAATTAGTTGATGTTTGCGCGTTTTGGTATTTCTATTTCTACATTTGTGGACTTGTTTTTGCCTGTAGTCTTAGCTCGACTAATTTACATAATGGAATAAACTTTGAGTTTGGCTAAACTCACCTAGTTATCTTAATCAACAGTTGATTTCGGAGAGTAAATAATACTAAATAAGCCAAACGATTCGGAACTTAGCTCTGCACTACATGAATGAAAATAGCTTTTGAATGACTTCGAAAAGACTTGTATCTTGTACATTGAATATCGAGTTTAAAATGGCAACTGTTTGCTTATTAAGGTGACTTCATATGTGAATAAAAAGACTAAGAATAGTGAATTTATTCTTAGAATTCCTAATAATCAGAATATTGACGCTTTTGGAAAAATTTTCGTTTTTGTAAATGAGGAGCAACAAACATTATAGCATAAAGTGAATTTATTTCGTTTAGCGTATTTTAAATCACTCTACATGCACAATAATTGGTACAAGTAAATAAATAATTAGAATGTTTTACGAACGTAATTTTGTATGTAGGTTCTATGAGGTCATTTAGTTCACTAATGAAGAGTAATTATGGCAACTTTCAATATTCATATAAGTTAACTTTACAGGTGATTAGAATAGATGAGACGGACCATACTATTAAAAAGTATAAAAAAACATGTATAAACTGTTACGATTGAAGCAACAACTGAAGATTACTCAATAAAATCTAATTAGGTGAATAGCTGAATTGAAATAGTGTTTTAAAAAATGAAACTAATTATAATGGCTATAAAGTGGAAGTGGAAACTTGACTTAAATGAATGACAAAGCTTCTATTTGTGATCAAATAAAAATTTATATAAAGTACAAACTTATATGTAATACAGAAATATTAGTTTTTAATGAATTCGTCATACTATTGATTCACCGTATATTAAACAGTGTTGAGTAAAGAAAACAAATAGAAAATGAGATAATTATATTTTACATTGCAGAAAAATTCGAGAGCGGAAGTGAAGCAACTAGTTGTCAGACATACAGATAAATATACCTTTTGCAATATCGCTATTGGAAAAGCTAACCGTACATCAGATAAAATATATGCTACGCATTAAAAGTGCCGAGCTTTTAGGCCTTCAATGGTTTAATAACTTAAATCGGTTCGTGATCTCAACAATATCCAACAATCTCCATATCTCCCATATTGATAAAGTAGTTTTTGAATGATATAATTAATGCCTCAATAATCTCATATCAAAAGACATAACCGGATCATCCAAGGTAATTTCCTGATTATCCGAAGGCTATTTTTAATATAAAATTTGATTGAATTACGTGAATGACAGTTAACTTATCAGTTTAATCTATTGAAATAAAGAAGTATAGTTTTTTTAATGCATGGTAGAAGGTAGTTTATTAGGTTCTTTTAATGTTTCAATAAATATCTCTCATTTTAAGTGATTAGAACAGAATATAAGGTAAATATAAAGTATCTTAACATATAAATACTTATCGTGCGGTGATTTTGAATAGGAGATATATGATCACGTCAGTTTTTGAAATACTTTAGGTAAATGAGTATGAATGACTTATACTTTATACAAGTGAACGAATTCCCATCCCTACTAAACGTTGAATATCTTATTTATGACAAAAACGGTCTCAAAAGATGTTAGGTAAACAAACGGCATATTTTACTAATAACAAATAGTACTCAAAACTCAGAGTATACGGGTATAAAAGGATACGTAGATGAATTTTAAGTTTACTAAGAGACTCCTAAAGTACCAAACAAATCCAATAAAAATTTTCAGTTGATCAATTAAACAAAGGTAGAACTTACTGTCAAAATGAAAAACGTTCGACCATGAAACATAGTTATATCCTGATAAGTAACCGTGAACTTGAAAAATAATCAATCTTTTATGACAGTATAATAATTAGAAATCAAAATTGTATTGTACTATTTTATCTAATATTGTCCGCGAATAATTCATATTACGAGCAAAAACTATTTTCCGAAGCAATCAACACCAGAAAGAACAGTGTAACTGTTTCTTTCTAAATTTACTAATTGTCATCCGTTCACGCCAAAAATTTAACACAAAAGGAAATTCAGGATTTTTAGGTACTATACAAAGCAGCATACCATTCATTCCCCATTATCGAATCCATTTAGATTTCTAATCCGATGTAATCCTTTGGAAAATGTCTGATTTCTGATAGGACTGAATATAAAATCTATAAATTTCACTCAGAAATTAAAGGAAGCCGTTTATAGCTAGTAACTAATGAAGAAAATGATTACCGAATTAACTATATTTCGATATAACATTTAAGTAATCTACTACTGGTAACCAAACAAAATTTGTCAACTCATCATAAAAAACAAGCATCTATACGAGTTACGATTAAATTTTATTTAGAATAGAGATAGGCATGATGGTTAATTACTTTTACTGTATAAAGAAACAAGACAATAAAAAACATGTTTCAAAAAATTAACCTATATACTTATACTACTTTTTTTTACGAATAAGTAATTAGTTACAAACAATTTAAATTTGATGTTCATATATATATCATAGTCATGGGACAATTGATGAAGAAAAATTAAAAAAAGAAACAAAAATTACAGAATAGTGAAAATTTCACAAATGAGCTTAACATTTTTACAATTCTATGTAACGTATGAATTAAATTTTAATGTAAAAAAGTACTATGAATTCATATTCACTCAGTCATATTCAATTTAGTGTATCTAAGAGAAAGAAAAAAAAAGAAAGAGATAAAGAAGATTAATATTGATTAATCAGATTGAATTTCCTGTCTAGACATGTTAAATGAATTTTTATTTTGGGTTCTTGTGTGTGTGTGTGTTTGGTAATGGAAAAACACTAAGTTAGAATAAATGGAATTATTATTCTTATTTATTTTTTTTTAATTTTTCATTTTATATTTATGTTTCTTTTTTAATCAAGAGTAAATACTGGACAATTATTATTGTTGTTTATATTTGATTCATCTATTAAATTTTCTTCATTTTTATGCATATTTGATTGAGATATATTAAATTTTAAATCTTTTGAATGATCATATTCAATAGATCTCTGATCATTGATCTGTATATTATCTGGTATTTTTAAATAATCTTGATAATGTTGATATAGATTAGTTGATTTTATTGGTAGACTATATTTACGTGTTAAATTTACTGTAGGTGACCATTTTTGTTGTGGCAATGATGGTTGTATTTGATGTTGTTGTTGTTGTTGTTGTATCATTATTGAATTCGATTGATTAAATAAACTATTTTGTAAAAAGTAATTTTCATTTTCTAATTTATTAATTCGATATATGAGATGACTTAAATGTTCAATTAATTCATGATTAGTTTTATTATGTTTGTAACCATGTATAATATTAAAAATTGAATTATCTTCTATTGAATGATTAGAAATATGACCTGTTTTAAATATACCTGGTGGTTTATAATGATGTGAACAAGTTTTATAAGGCCATGGAGGTCGTCTAGCTGTCCAATTAGGTGTTTTATGTTTTGGTATTTTTAAATGAGTACAATATTTTCCATGTGTTGGCTCTGGTGCAGGCATAGAAGATGAATAAGAGAGAGTTTTATTAATACATGGTGATGATGAAGGTTGTGAAGTATGCTCGTAAACAGCTTGAAATTCTTGTTCATCTTCGGAAATTGTTGCTTCTGAAATAGATGGTGTAGAAGCTTTTTCAAAACAAATAATTGGTATCACTCTTTTTCCATTTACTGTACCATCATGATTTGAATTATCCAAATTTGAATTTACTGTTTGTTTTCCTTTCATGGAACAGTCAAAATGACAATATTTACGTAAAAACTTTTCGTTTTCCATTTCTTTCCATTGATTTGAATGAAAATCCGTAATCATGACACCACTATGTAATGCTATAGGTGTAGATTTCACGTTAGAATCCTTTAATTGATTACTATTCGGATGATAAAAAGAATCATCAGTAGGAAACAGATTTGTTGGCATTGATAGATGACGCTGTTTTCCAAATGGGACTGGATTATTCTGATATGATTTTAATCGGGGACATTTATTTGATTCGGCTATTAAACAATTACAAACCTGTTCGTTTTCATTAGAACATAATGCTGTAAAATTTCCTAGGCTATCACTTACTGTTGTCGGCACTGAACTCGATCGATTCTCATAAACAGGCTGACTTTGACTCGTTACGTTGAAGATTGTCGGATTAGGCTGTGGAAATGGTGCATGATTTGAAGCTATATGAGTTTTATCAGAATTGTTCATTACCATAATGGCCGATGGAGTAGGGGATCGTTGCGGTGTAGGCAGAAAGGCTGAGCAACGACTTGGGTCACTGCCATAACCATCCGACCCATCACTGTTGGAAACACGTACTAAGCACTCATTATTTGAATTCATGTCTAATTGAGAATGACTGTTCTGACTAATTGTTGGATTATTATTACGAAGGTGTGTGTTGTCAAGAGCAGGTGCAGAATATCCAGTGTAGTTCATGGGATCTGTTGAATTCATAACTTTCCTCTCAAATGGAATAGATTTGATTGGAAAATCTAAAAGAAGAGAGAAAAAAAGCTATTTTTAGTATTTAGGCAAATAACTGAAAACATTTTTAATATACATAGACTATTTACAATGAAGATTGGAAACATTAAATAGTTGATAATTTTGTTCGCATAAAATTTGTGCTACAAACAGTTAAATATTATCCTAAATCAATTATTGTGTGACTTTTCTTTAGATTAAGTCCTAGAATTCCTAAAACTATATTAGAACACATCGATATGATATTGTCTTAGACTTCTTGGCTACACATTTGATTAGAATAGATAACGTTTATAATGATTGACTGATTCTCGATTCACTATTATAACGATGATTGATGTTAAAAATTTGAAGTTATATATTTTTCTTGTGCACGTCCTAAGAATCACTAAGAAACTAATGTGTTTTGTTATCAAGCTTCCAATTAGTACTCACTTTAAATCCAATGCAAGATTTAATTCGAGATCTTTAGTTATCAGGGCAAGGCAATAATCTTCAATAATTCGTTACTGTAGTTTGTTTATGAGTTCTTAGCATTAATGTTGTGGAAGAGAACGTGTGAATCTATTTCAATTCTCAAACAAATTTGGAATAACTGATTACTGTTTTCTAAATTTAAATATGATTTTTTTAGTAATCTTTAAAAAGGTCGTATTTTATTCCATTCATCTCTAGTGAACAAATTAAATGAGCTAATAAATAGCAGTTATAAATGGAAATTATAAGAAACTGACGTTCCAGAATAAGTTAATTAATTTCGTCAAATAAGTCATTATCAGAACCAGTAGAAAGAATAAACAGTTCTTTCATAGATTACACTGCCTAATGATTTTAGTTAGATAACTGTTGGAAACCAGAAAGCACTGAGAATCTTTCTCGTCTTAGTATAAGACTCATCAGTAGTGCATAACTACTTCCCCACCGGCAGTCATACTCAAGGCCTCCTGATCTCATACGCAACGCAAAACATTTTAACCACTGAGTTGGATACACAAAATACTAAAAATATCCTAATCAGTAAATTAGGTGCGAGGCAGTTACTCACCAAAGACAATAGAAGATGGTCCTGTGATATTGCAGATTGATTAAAGTTAGGCATTAACACTGTTGAATGCCGGTTTAGTGATCTTCAGGCTGAACGCGAAATTGAGGGTCCCCCCCTGCAAGATCTTAGATGCTCACCGTTGAGGAGTCACATACTAGGACGAAACAGCCGTCCAGTGCTCCCAGGTTTTCAGTGGTGGTTCAACATTGACCGGTTCATGATCTCAACATAATCATTATGTCTTTATATAATTCTCGAGGGTTCTTACGTGAGTGTAAATAATAATATTGCGAACAGATACAGACGAAGAGATACATTACCATTATAACAAATAATAACAAGTACTAGCTCAATGTTCAAATAATAAAAATCCAATATCATAAATGAATGCTTTTACTTTAATAATTCATCATTAATGTGTAGAAAGATGTTAACTAAAACATGAGAAACTGGCTTTACATAGAATGTGCATTAGTAACATCCATGCAACTTATTCAAATCTTTCTAAACTAAATTTACATTCATAGATTGATTGCGTCAATGAATAATGAATGAATTAAAGGTAAATTGTAAATAGAATTTGGTTGCTGATTAGCAAAATATGACTATAGTTCTATAATGTTTCTCTCAATAAAATGAATTAGTAGTAGATGCGTTCAACCAGAAGATAAAAATTAGCAACATTTAGTGACAGATGAGAGATAAAACTCATTATCTGTATGAAATATTTCATCTGATATGATTATAAATTCTTCAACACTTAAGAATAGAATGGGATATGCTTCTTTTAGGCTAAACTATCGAGTGTATAAGGATAATAATGAAAAAGATGTAAACCGGGTTAAATTGAACAATGGAAATCATGGTTTACTACATATATATTTGAAAGATTTCAATAAAAAAACATAAACTAGAACATTAACAGAATAATCATACCTTTCATATTTTGCTGTGGAATATTCTGATATTGATTTATTTTTCTATAAGCATCAGCTTCAAGTTTACTTCTTGCATTTGGATACTCTTTAAGTACTTTCCAAAGATCAGATTTAGACAAGCAGAACAAATCAGAATATCCTAGAGAACGTACTGATGCTGTACGTCTATTACCATTATTACCCAGATTTAGAATAGATAATTCACCGAAATAGCTTCCAGCGTGTAATGTAGCTAAAACTGTATGCCCATCATCACCTAAAACATGTAATTTTCCACGATTCACAATATACATTTGCTTACCAATTTCACCTATGAAAAATGAAGTTTATTTTAAAAAAAGTATTCTCAGTAATATGTGATGGTGAATAAATAATCGAAGGTAATCTGTAAGATATCACATTATATATTATATTTGTTATTTTAATTAGCTGTTATAGTAGATCAGTAAACTGAGATAAACTGAACATATATGTGTAGGTTTGAAGTATATTTTATATAAAGTATAACTATGGCATTAGTTTACAGTTCCCCATAGATACTCTGATAGATAGTACTATATCTAATTACTATTTTTAGGAGGTCCACTTTAATCATAAAAGTTTTCGAAAACTACTTTTTTTAAACGATATTGATTTTCAGTACTGATTAATTGGAAAGTAAATGAAAAGTGTAGTGTATTAAACACGTTTCTGAATTCCAGGTAGTGCCCTCACCAACTCTGTTGACTTCAGCCAGAAATTTCCTGATGTCTTACTGTTCGAAAATTATTACATCTTTCATGAACTAAAAACAATGGATTATATACACCTTTCAGAGACTTGAAATAGATTTCTTGAAGTTCTAGTAGAGAGTACTGACCAATACAGTTGGCCGATAATCAAGTAGGGCAGTAACAGATTGACAAAACTGAGTAATGGTTCCGATATATATGTATATTTAAACATCACCATACGAGAAGCTCGAAAGCACTTTGCAAGATGATATATGAAGATGAAAAAGCGTACCGCAAAAAGATAGTTTCCTAATTTTCTTTATTTATACTTATGATGACCAAAAGTAGTTTGAGATGTCTAAATATCTCACCTGTGTAAACGAAAGAGAAGGGTACCTAAATCTGGTTTTCAAACGATAGAATAATTGACTTATCTTTTGTGAAATACAATAGAATAAATATATAATCATTCATCTCTTTTTTGATCAACCATCTTAATGATTACAAATAGATTAATTGATAAGTATTATTTTCGACGGATATCAATCTGTGTTGCATAATCCCTTCAGATATTCTAAAATTTCTTTCAATTATGCTCAAAACATACATTTAACATCATAGAACCAATTAATCATTATATATATATATATATATATATATATATATATATATTTAACATTTTATGAAAAAGACTAAAAGAGAATGGATTTTTTTCTCACTGACGATGTAAAATTTGACAGAAACAAGAATGTATTTCAAGGTACAAAATAGTTATGACAAGGTGTTAGAAACTGAATAGACATAGTTTGATTCAGATGACTGATTAGTTTGTGATGTAATAATAAAGAACTTAATTATTCGGAATATAAGTGACATACAGAAATGATTTTCTTCAATCGTCTATAACATTTATCAGCAATTTTATATTAATAGTTGAAATCATGAGTCGATTGAAGCTAGACCACCATGGAAAACCTGGAAGCACTGGACGGCCATTTTGTCCTATTGTAGGACTTCTCAGCAGTGAGCATCCACGAAGCCGTATCGCGAGATTCGAACACATGATCTATCGGTCTCGCGTGAGGACGCTTAACCACTACACCATTGAGCAGGCATTCAGCGATGTTAATGCCTAACTTTAACCAATCTACGAAATTGCACCACCGTTCACCATTGTCTTCTGTGAGTTATGTCTATTGTTTACGGGAGTTTCATCATATGATATCATAAATATGTGTTCATACATCAAGGTTTCAATTCATTCAAGTAAAATGCTGTCTGTTTCAGTTTATACAAATCTGACTGTGAACAAATCATTTAGAAATTGGTACACTTAGTTGTTAAGTTATTTTAATTTCCATCGATAGTAAATCTTTATTGATCATTTTTACACACTAACTTATATCGTGCAAACCTATGGTTACATGTAACAAGCACAAGGTTTTTACAGATGTAATAGCTCGAAATAATTTTCACAAACAAAGATTTCATAAGTTTACTTGTAACTACAATCAACCAAAATGAAATTTTTTTCAGATATAAAATCTTGAAGATTATTTTGACTGACAGTTGTTATGTGCAGTTTTTTGAGTATTTCCATGTGATATTGTAGTGAATGAGAACACAAGTGGGGATAATCAAATGTGTTTGAACACAAAATTACAAAATCCTTTAGTAAAATCCGAGAATCATAAAATAAATCCTTAATTTGCAATTGTCTTAATTGTTTCAAACTTGACCGTTCCTTTGCAAATGTTAGTATATCGTCCCAGACTTTATTGTTCCTTCACTTCTATACCAATTGCTTTCTATTTTTATTCTCTCATTCTCGATCTTCTTGACTTTTTGTTGCCAGATATTCTATTCCTGACAAGTGGTACATACCACTTATATCTATATAAGTAACACACACCACACTCGTCCATCCTTCAAAGCAGTCGTTCTTGCAGTGGTTCTGCTCGCCGTGCCACTTCCTTCTTTTATGCAGTCTATCCCACGCTCTCCGTCAAAATGTTAAGTCTGAGGCGCACTGACCTTAATAGCTTATATCGATATAAGTAGTACACACCACAATATGTTCAATGGGAAAGTTAAAAATAAACTAAAGATGTGATTTTAAAATAGTCAGTGGTGTGAAATTAGTGTTTATTTTCTGTCTAATAAAAAGTGTAATACTATTTGAGTAAATTTAAAAAAAACATCTTTTGAAATATGTGAATGATTTCCATTAGTCGATGTACATATATCAAAAAGTGTAGTGCATCATTCAGTGTATATACTTTATCTAGTTCAAGTTTTATGAAACAAACAGTTGATACTTATTATTAAACATATAATGGATAACGTACCTTTACGGCATACATAATCACCTGGTGCGAACAATACAACACGTAGTTTTAATACAAGTTCTGATAAAAATCCTTCTTCAGTATCTTGAAATATTTCCACTTGTTTTAATGTATTCAAATGCACGTGAATAGCTATTTCAGCTTTTAATTTATACGGCAGATTTCGTAGAACCTTTTCTTCGTCTGTAATTTTATTTGTATACCAAAGAAAATCAAACCAATTTATTACACGTTCTTGTAATGATGCTGGTACCCTTCTTAATGTCATATAGTTTTTCACACTATCAAGCCGTGCTGAAATATAAATATTAAAATGAAACCATTATAGACACACCGAAGACCATGTCAAGCTCATTTATTCATGCAAATTATGGTCACATGAATGTTTTCTTTTCATTACAACTAAAAATAGGTTGAAGTTGAGTTTCAGTCTCGAAAAATTTATTCCCAAAAATTAGATTGAAATGATCAAACTACTTGTTAGTAGGTAAATGTGTAACTGAAAAATAAGTTACTAATAATAAGCTAGCCGTGAATATTTCATTTATGCTTTACTCCATACAGCTCGGTTTTTAGATTAAATGGATTATCAGTATATTAGGAGTCAACGGCTTAGAGAATTTGAGTTTCAAACACGTTTTTTGGGGAGGAGCTCCCTATAATTTTATGTGGAATGATTAGAATTTAGTTACTTTTTGGTTATTGTTATCACTAAGTTTCCATCCCTGATTTAATTTTAGACTATCCTAAAGAATAGCTTGGATTTCCAAGCTACAGCAAAAAATGTTTGGCAGGCAGAGTAGTAGATAAAAAGCATGTTTGCCTGTGATAGAATTCCTATTACGATGTGCTTGCTGGTCATATTCGGTCATTCAGGTTTATCTAAATGGGGTTACCTACTTTAGACATGACGAAAATCATAGCCTTATGTTGCATATACTTCCTTTCTTAAAGTCGAATTCTGATTCATCTTGAATCCTATATGAAATGTTCAAATGAATGATGGACCGGCTGAAAGTTTGGTGTTAGCGAAAAAATACTCTCTGAAATGTGTTGCACTTCATATGTTATTTAGCTTAAATTACTTTATTTGTAAAACTGGAATATTTTTACTGTTTAGAAATAGAAATTTCGGTGAGACTATAATTTATGGATGACCTTTGAGCGAGGCTAGTCTGACCTTGAAAGTGTTCACCTAATACGTAGGACCAAACGAGGGTTATAAACCAGTGTAGGGAATAAAAATTATAATTTATAGTTGATGATTAAAGTTAGGAATAAAATTTAGGGTTTTCATTGCGAACTGATACCATCTATAATGCCAAAACTTTATTTAGCCAAATGGATGAGTGGATTTTGCGCCAAAATCCAAGACCAGTTATCTCATACCTGATTGGTTCGTTCATAAATTATAGTCTCGCCGAAATTTCAATTGTCATTGTTTTTTCTGTTCATACGATAAATTCAATAAACATAATTAAAAGATAAAACAAATTTTTCATTTTACTGAATTTTTGTTATTAAAAAGTTCATAAAATAAATTAGAGTTTTGTTAAAAACATTAAACAAAATATAAAGTTAGAATATTATGTAACGAAATCAAAATACGAGAAACATTAAACGCACTTGAAACTAATTGCAAATGTGTATCTTTTAAAGTATTTTTATTGATTCATATCAATAGCTTCAATTGACACATGATCTCAACTATTAAAATTACTATAATATCCACAAAATCTCCTTCTGATAGTAATCAACATATGCTCACTAGTGACTGGCTTCAACAGGTATTTCTTAGAGATCTAGTGAGAAACAATGACCAATCGAGTTCAACCGGGTCTGTTGTGAGATAATAACTCAATGAAGACAATGGTGGATGTGTCACTCAATTTCGTAGATTAGGTGAAGTTAGACACTAACATTTTTGGATGCCGGCCATCTCACTGGTCTAGTGGTTAAGCGTTCGCGCGCGAGTTTGGTGCGTCCTGGATTCGAATCCCGCGAAACGGGATCGTATATGTGCACTGCTGAGGAGTTCCACAGTAGGACGGAACGACCGTTTAGTGTTTCAAAGTTTTTCATGATTGTCTATCTTCAATTATTAAAATTACTATGATATCTGCAAAAATCTCTTCTGGTATATCAATATTTCATGATTGAATGAAAATGTTTACTTTAGCCAAGTATAGACCAATGAACATTAAGTTAAAACCATATATTTATATTAACAGTCGAATAAGAATCGGATAAAATTTAATTACAACTTCATTTAAACAAGGATATTTTAAAATTAAAAGGGGAATTTGTTATTGTTGTGAATGACCATGATTCTTAAGATTGTAACAAATTCTATTGAATTTTTCTTAAAGGGAAAAATAGCTGTTAGGTTGTAATTGAGTTATGATAATTTTTGTAAACAAACCAAGCAGTGGAAGAGTAGAAATATCCTTAATTAATTTTTTCAAAGAAAACAAGGATTATGTTAACGATTATTCTACGTTAAAGGCCCCAAAATGCCCTATTAAGGCCGAGAGTGGGGAGAGTCAGTTCTCCCTACCGAAATGATCTTTCATGACCACGCGTATACAGCCACTGCTAGGGACGTTCTACTCACTGCCTTCTTGCCTCGTGGGTGTTGTTTACGAAATTGAGGGGACGCAAAGCGGATGTCCTGTTCCTTAACCGGGTTTGTAGATACGGAGGATCCACCTAAGGAAATTACAAAACTTTGATTCCAAACCAATGGTGCACCTAAGCTCTAGGATCCTGAGGGAACAAATGGTGCATGAACTAATCGTTGGTCACAGGTTACCACTGGATTACATCTCTTGACGTCGCTCCACTGCCTTACGGATTAGACCTTTGGGTTAAAGGCTCAAAGAGTGACTCCCTAGGAAAACCACCTGCTTCGATGCAGGCACCCGGGTAGTATCTCTGCCCTCAAATAAATGGAATGATTTGTTTAGTGCATATCTAATTGGTGCCTCCTTGTACTAATGTTTCTATGTTTAAATAAATGAATAAATAAACGACATTAAAAGGAGAGTAAAATGTTACGAGAAACAATGACTTAATCGATTAGATCACGTTTAAAAAGTGATTATCTAACTTAGTCAATTTGTTATTTTGTTGATTATAAATGTTTAATCATATAGCATTATAAATATGTTCACACATTAAGTTGTTTGAACTTATTACTGTTAAATAATAATTGGTCCAAATTATACAAATCTGATTACAAATAAACCGTATAAAAATTGGTATATTCAGACATCACTTTGATCTATTTCTAGGGTCAAATAAATTCATATTAGCTATCTTTATGTTTTTCTTAAGCGTCATCGGATTCAGAGTTTTCAGTAACAAACATAGTTAATTAAGTATTTAACAGACATAACAGTGACAGGTATAAGATAAACTTTCTGGAAGAAGTTTGAAATTAAATTGTTTATTCACTGAAGATATTTGATCTCGACATATTAATCCTATAGCCATTCCTGAGATATATGAACATCAACCGTTTACTATAAAACTAAGTTATTACTATCAACATTAGTCATATATGTTTAATTACTTTTTTAACAAATACAAGTTCTAAACCGAAGATCATCTTTCGATTGCATTTAAACACTGAATGTCCTATATACTGTAACCTCAGTAGTTTGGTCATAATCTAAATTATCCGATTTCAAAAATGATGTAACATTCTTATAAGTAAATTAAGATTCAAAATTAAATTAATCGGGACACGTATGAAATATTAGATATATAAAATCAATAATTTAATGTTTCACAAAAATAATCCAAATAACAGAGATAATGTTATATCTTGTGAATGTTTTCCAAAATCCCCGTCGCCAGTTGTTATAACTTGTGAATCGAATGCTACTTTTTGTATCTGGTCGTCGCTGATTGTTATATCAGAATCGCTGATCACTTATACTCGGAACGGATGGACCTCCACAATTCCCATGACGCGAAAGTAAGAACACAAAGACTGGTGTAAGTGAAGCTTTATTAACATGAAAACACGAAGACGACCTTAGTCGGAAAACTCATTCATTGTGCAGACTATTTGATTAATAATTAGGATGAAATCACATATATTAAAAATACTCAGAGTTATAACAAATCACTTACTGAGCATAGTTCAGGTCAATGGAATACAAGAATATCGTACATTATACAGAATAAAATATCATACGAGAAATCAAAACAAATATTACATTGAGTAATCATTACATTGAATCAAAACAGATGTGACGATGAATAAAACTCATATTGAGTAAATCAATCGAATCTTGACTTTTCTTTCCATCATATCATCTCCCCTTCTTTTTTTTGAGGACTCTTTGTTGAAATCCATCTTTAATTTTTATGACTTCATAAGTTCATGTACATTTAATAAGACGTCGTCTGTCTGTGAGATGGACAAGTCAGTGTTTGAACATAGTGTTTCGGAGGCAATGGGATTTGAACCCACGACAGGGCATTTCTCTGAAATGGACATTTCTGGATCACTGGGTGGATCATGAATGACTGCCACTGCTTCGCTTACATTACTGCTCGTCAAGGATTCGTAGAGGCTATTATCGACACATTCATACGTTGTGCAGTCATTTTCCAGCTCGGTATGCAAATTAGAAATTAATTTATCAACTTCTGTTACATCTCCAAAACATGAATGATATCAATAATGATTATAATCAGTTTAAATTACTCCACTGGTAATATTCAAAATAAAAAATCTCTATTAGTCTCAGTTGACGTCTTGAGTAGATTGCATAGATATATTCATTATATCACAAGTTATTTACCATAGCACTGGAATTCAGATTGTTCATCTCATCCTATATGGAGTACATTAGCTAGATGTACCTGGTCACTATGTGTAAGTTATTTTTACCATTAAAAATACCTAAAATAATATGAATCCTAATGTGGATTTCTAGAAAAAGATGTAATATGGCTTATTATAAGTGATCTTTCATTTCTAACAATTACCCAAGGATAGATAGAATTCAATGAAGTGTTATTCAGAAGGTTGAATAAATATCTCACCATATATAAAATTGATGTTATACATTGGTTTGGTTCCAGCAAATAAGAGATTTCTTCTGTCAGATGATTTTAAGTAGTAATATTTTACAAATTTCTCTATAAAGATGTAAAGTTTAAAACTTATTGTCTTAATGACGTTTTGTTGTTGTTGTTGTTGTAGGAATCAGTACATGAGTTTCTATTTCATTTCTAATTTATATAACAGTGTTTTCAATCTATTCATTATATTGTAT